TGTCTTAGTAGAATAGCCAATCCAGCATAATATTGGAAACATGAGTCTGAGTGGTGAGCGTAGGAAGACAATCTATATCTCAGATTGACTGTCTTACCGAAGTCTTTTGCAGAAGGAGCCCTACAGTTACTTATAGTTTTGAAGTTACTACTTTTTATGACTCCTAGATCTTAATAGTTCATTAATTAAGGTAATACGACTCCACATATTGTGTAGTTTTATGAACCGTCATAGTTATTTTTAATTACATTACCACACTCTTGATAGGATTTAGTTCTACTGACCACTTATCTGTTAATGCAGCCATTGAATTTAGATCATCCTGTAATATTATTCTATTTGACATCCTCTTCAGAGGTCACCGAATTTTCAATGTCATCGGCAAAGAGTAGAACGGATGACTGCTAGAGTTGGTAATTTACTTACGTAGAGTAAGGAAAGAAGAGGACCAAGGTTTATGTCTTAAGAAACTCCACTTTTTGCAGATTCCGACGCTGAGAGAGCTCCATTTATCCTTATCCACTGTTTCCCATCATTGAGAAAGCCGTTTATTCAGTCTATGATTTCATAATGGATTTCAAAACTTTCCAGTTTTAATTTAGGACCCGAATGAAAGACCTTGTCAAATTTCTTACTCAGACTTATGAAAGCCACACCCACAGCATTATTTATATCTTTTGCTGAAGCTCAATCTCTTCCAATAAGCGAATTTGTCAGGCATGATGGGTTTTTATTAAAAACCATATTGTTCCCTGGTTAATGGCCTATGCTCTTCAAATATAATTCGAAATTGCCATCCGAATAACCTTTTTCATTAGTGTGACAACCACAGTGGTTAGACTAATGCATCGATAGTTATGAAGTAAGTTTCTTCTCCCCGCTTTATACACTAGACTGGTTATTACGTCTTTTCAGTCTAAGAAGTCTGGATTGCCACAAAGACATATAAAAGAGTATGGATATAGGTCCACCAATGAATCTAGACAGGAACATTATGCCTACTTGAAGGAATTTGAAGACAGTTCCCTTGTCAATAACTACAGGATCCATCGAGGAGCCGCCTAGGTCACGATTAATGGTAGAAAACGCTTTACTAAAATATCATGTTAAAGCTTCAAGCTTTCCGGTATGATCTCTTGCCAATATCAACGTATTTTCTGTTACCAAAAATGGTGGATTCCTTTGTTTCTCTGAGCTGGCCTCTTTATATATGAGACTAACCTTTTCGGTCCATTTTTTACCTCCTTAACTGTTTTTCATATGAATATCTTGTCTTACGTATCAACGGTTTATGATGATTCCTAAACTCACAATGACTGAACCTGTACTGTTCCAAGACTTTAAAAATGAACATATTTCATCGTTTTTTTGCATCTAAGAAGTTGCTTGACTTGTTTTGTTATCCGTAGTGGATAGATATTTTGTTTACGTGGTACTAAGCATGGTATAAACAAGGACGTAACTGGAATAAATCAACCTGTAAATATGGACCACGCTGTTTCAACTGATGAGCTAGTATCTAATGACTAGCCTTTTTTTGTGGCTCACTCCTAAATGACTGATGTGTCTTCTCTCCATACATTCGGGCGAGATTTAACCCGATCGTATATTAAGCCACCAGCTCTAAACAGCATGATCACTACTTGCTATGAGATTCGGATTCAGATTAAACTTGGGAGGAGTCTGCTTTTCAACACCTTGTTCAATGCTTTGCTGAAGTCGATATGGACAGTGTCCACTACTTCTCCATTATCTAACGCCTCTATCAATTGCTTTCCTTCAGTAACGAAGTTTGTTGTGCAGAACAATCCTTTCCTGGAACCATGTTGTCCGCTTTTCAACAACTTGTTGGTTTCCATGAATGTTATTAAGGCTTTTTCGATCATTGTTTCCGGTATTTCAACTACGACGCTGGTGAGACTGATGGATCTGTAGTTTGGTGGAAGTTGTCTTGATTCTGTCCTGAGAAGTGGAGTGTCAATTGCATCCTTACAGTTTATCGATAAATTACCTTTGCCAAGTGACATATTCGATATCATATTCAGCGATGCAGGAACGTATTGTGTGGTGCGTTTCAAGTGTCAAGGACGTATTTCATCCAGCACTGTTGATTTCTTCGTGTCCACAATGCCAAGGGCCTTTAGTACATCGTCTCGATCAAAGTCATAAATGAGAAGCCGATTTTGTGGATTTGTATCTGGGTCTAGTTCTTAGTCTAGAAGAGGCTGCTGGAAGAAAACTATCCCGAAATAGATTTCCATGGCCTCTTCTTTTTCCTGCCCTTCCTCTATCATTTGAGATATGTGGTGGTGGGAGCCCTAACCCTACAATCCTGAAAGCTTAACATGAAATAACTGGGAAACTTGATATTCAATATCTAACACGGAGAGAATGCTAATAATGAGGGGGGAAGAGTTAATTAACTCAGTCGGATGGCATAGCTCAGCTATGCAGGTGTGGTTATTTTTGTGTGACTTATGTCTGTCATTCAGATTAAATGCATCGTTCCACCTCCAGCTTAAATGTGTTTTCCAGAAGTAGGTAACATCATATTGATGGTTTTTACGATGGGACGAGTCAGTGTAGTGGTGTGATGGACATGATGCTGTTATCAGCTCTCAGGAAGATCTGACTTCTGGATTTATTCAGCGAATAATGGATTATCTCCTACACACGTTTCTGGTATGGTGTTGTGTAGGTCACATCGACTAACCGGTGACCAACGTTGATTGTCTGAAGTAACTGTCCACCTTATGGTTACGCGTGGGGCTGCAGCATTGGACGTTGGTACAACACGTTCAGCTGACATATCGTCGGGATTAGTAGGTGGTGGAAGTGCTGCTAGTAAACCACGTCCATCGAATAACTCACCTCATTCTTATCGGTCTCCGTTCACTAAAGTTCCTTTCCTGATGGAAAAATTGTTTGACGGTGATAAAGAGTTGTGTAGCTATTTCTCGAATGAAGTTATTTCGGGCTCAGGTAATCATCCTAGTTCTTTGATGTTACCACTAGGAAGAGGCATCAGTTCGACTTCACAGTGTAACACGTTGGATAGTTCTAAAACTCACTGTTTACCAGTCCATCCACAGTTTGCGAACCGTTCAACAAATGATTTGTACTCACCTCAGTCATATGATCATGGGGTACCGTTTTCATCATCATCAAGAGTAGGAGATGGATCTAAAGTCTTTAATATTGATAACGTGTCACCATCATCATCGATTTATCATAGTGATGGAGAAATAACACATGCTATCAGTCCAGTTCACCATTCTCCATTCAAAACACTTTCAAATCAATCACTTATCTTCGGGATTGTTACTGATATATACCATATTGGTCATTTGTTACAAGCGTTACTTAAATATCTTTGAAGTTTAAAATCACTTTTAAAAGAAAACTTAATTCAGTGGATGACTTATGGCCCAGTTATCATTAACGATTCAAATGCCTTATCACTCCATAGTAATAACCACAAAAATAATATTATATCATAATTCCCAATACCCACCCTGACCGGACCTATAAGCGTCAGAGCTTCCTTTTTAATAAGAGCCCGTGAAGGACAAATAAAATTCTATCGAAAGGACAGTTGCTTTAATAGACAGATGGAATAATCATATTTTTCATTTCACCTTCATAGTTGAGCCACGTCGTATAGATAGTCTTCGTGCATCGGCTTTTATTGACCACAACATTCAAAATTCGGAAACAAATCTTCTCAGCTTGAAGGATAATTTAATCTTGGCTTCACTGTTATTCTACTGTCATTTTACACCAATTATTAATGTCATACAAGTTAAAAAGTTGTCGTCAGAGGTTACCATACAGTGTTCGAAATATGCCGAGTTTCCCCTTTGAAACCAGTTATTTTAGACAATCTGGTCAACATAGCATATTTTGTTTGTGTGTGGGATCAATGTCTAGTGTCAGTATTGGTTGTAATATTCATGCTAACTAAAAGCGGTTGACTAGCCTCAATGTGACTATCTAATCGTTATGATCTTACTTTTAAGTCATACCATTGCATTTTTTTTCGTGAAATATTCAACGGCCATTGTGAATTTTCTAAGCTAGTACATTTACAGCCTCGAAGATGATAAATGGACATGGTTCAATGTTACTCCATCGTCCATACCGGTGTATCAAGATGGCACTAACCTTGACGTTATCCATGGATCATCAACCTTTAATGGTATGAGCAGCAAAACACTGTCCCATCAGGGGCAGTGAAATGATGTTTCTTCAGAGTTTTCCACCTTACAGATGTCGATTTCTAGTGATACAATTTAGTTATCATTGAACTTCCGAGAATAGTAATCATGTACATCGAAACCTAGGTTGTCCACTGACACCTCAAAAATATATCTCTCCGTTGTCTTGAATAGATTCTTTGTCACTTGGCTCAACACTTTGACAGAGGTCAATATAGCCCCCTAAATATAGTGCTTGACTTGGAGCAGAAAGTATAACCACAACTTATTTTACCATTTACTCTTTTGTTTATAAGTATTCCTCAAGAAGTTTATTAGGCAACCAAACACTAGTAAGTATTCTTAAGAGAACACGGAGGTTGTTTAGATTGTAAGAAAGTTAATTGCAAGCTGTTCACATCATGAAAGGTAAAGATCCACTATCTAATGCGTTTCTTTCTAAAGGTTCATTTCGAGCCTTCGAACCGGTTTCGTGGACCAAATTCAGGTACACTGCATAGTGATAATCGATAGTGCAATAGAAATAGTTCTTAGAACATAGACGAAATTACCGTAGAAATCGATTTCCTTCATATGTAAAGGGGGACTTATGCCTGCCATAGAACATCGTCAACTGTAAAATTATCTTGTAAGCAGCATTCGTTCACAGAGACGAAAACAAAATGATGAAAATAGTAGATCCTGGACACAAATTGATTGCCAGAAATATATCCTGCCATCCGAGAACGAATATATTAGTTAGCTTACGGATGATTGTAATGAAGGTATTGAACGGTGCAATCACTGACCTTGAAGGTTTGTCGCGTAATAGAGGCTGTTTGAAGTTTCTGGGATGTTTGGCGTTCTCGTAAGTTTGTCTTGAGCTTCTAGTCATATATCTTCGTTATTTCTCGAACGCATGTCCTCGCCGATTCAGTTTACTTTGCGTGACATTTATTGCCCATCATGTGAAAAGTAATCAGTTGACATTATTCCTTTTGGATTTGATTTTCCTAGCTGCTTATTAGATCATTGTTACAATGACTTGTAAGTATACTTCCATACTTTCGTATCTACCAGACAATACTAAATTTGATTGTGGCAATGTATCGGTTGTTATAGAAATAACTAGTTATTAGTAGTACACAAGTCCCGCCGCTAATATCTGTGATCGTTCCATTATATTTACTGGTAAAACTATAACATATTGACGAAATAAAACAGTTTCAAGGGTAAATTTTGTGTCAGCCAGTATAAATAGCTAATCAGACCGACGTCTGTGAAAAATCTCGGAAATTACGAAGTGAGGTCATGGGATTGAGTTGTAACTTAAGTACTGAACGTATTAAGGCTGGCTCTATTATTTCAGTTGGAAATCACCGTACTGCGTTTCGAATCCATCTTAACTGCTAGCCGCAGTACTCATAGATTATAGATCCTTACCTAACAAACCTAATCGTAAGATACTGCTCTTGAAATTTTGTTCCACTAGGAAATCATTCAATTCTTCTTAATTCGGAATATAATAAAAGCCACGAGTCTTTGCAACGTCTTTAATTTGGGTTGATGTTTAACAGAGGTGAACTTAATTTGGATTAGTCACTCAGATTCATTGTGGAAAGTATGGGAAGCTGGGTAGTCTTTATTAGCCCTGACAATAGCGATTTCTCAGTTGATCCAACCTTCTTTTGAAAGCGCCGACAGATGGAGCTCTAATGAATTCCATTCGTCGACAATCCAATTGGAAAGTCGATAGTCAGCTGACAAGTGATTTACTGTGAGCTTGTGAACTAATTAAAGTATCCTCATAAATTGAACGATGAGAGGATGTCAGATGCAAATTTATCACTAGGCAGTTTAAAAGCTGATCAAGTTACCTATGGTTCTTCCATATGGCAATAGATTTAGGTTGAGTTCGGCTAGTCGAACATCATACAGGAGCTTCGTTACCCCAGGAATAAGCCTAGTTGCAGTTCTTTACTGGTCACTGTCTCATTTTAGGCAGGGGCTAGCTGCTTTTACGCAGTACTCGAGTTTAGGACACACAAATACTGTTAACAAAGTCAAAAAGGGTTTAACATTGACAGCGTACAGTAGTTTTTAAGTTTGGGCTGTCAATGACCCCTAAGTCATTGTGTCGTGGTCTAGTAGGTTAAGCGTTCGCGGGCAAAACTGAAGGCCCTAGGCTCAAATCCCGCGAGCGGGATCGTGGATGCGCACTGCTTAGGAGTCCCACAATAAGACGAAACGGCCATCCAGTGCTTCCAGGTTTCCAAAGGTGGTCTAACATCAACCGGTTCATGATCCCAAACGAAAAACATTAAGTAGAAATGTTTTTGTGTATCTGGACAGCAAACAAATTGTCATTCACCGTGTGTATCTGTACCTCTGTGACCACAATATGCACCATAATGCACTTGGAAGCATTTATCGGCAACTGCCAAATTCAAAACCATTTAGACAATTTCTCCAGGTCATTTTGAAGCTCTAAGCCATCACTTTTACCATTTATCGCTCTCCATATCTTGACATCGTCAGCATGTAACAAAACGGATAATGACAGGAAACTAGCAACGTCACTTACATAGAGGAGGAACAGCACTGGCCCCAAAATTGTACCCAGAGACACTTAGCTGAGCAGTTCTCCATCTAGACAATTTTGAGTTCATCCATACACTTTGTTGGCGCCCAACTAGAACGTCCTTTATTCACATTAACAATTTGCCTCGAAGGCCGCGATATTACTTAACTTATATAACAGCCGGTCGTGAGGAACTTTGTCAGAATCTTTGCTGAAGTCAATATAGGTAACTTCTGACAATTAAGCGCACAAAAAGTTTAATGGCTTACCAATAAGTTAGTGAGACAGGAATAACCTGCTCTAAAGCCACTCTGCTTTTCATAAAACAACCCAATTGTCGTCTAGATACTTAAAGAACGTCCAAATAGTATTTTTAAAAGTGTTAACAACCACTCTAGTTAGGTTTTCGGGTTGATGGTTCTCAGGTTTGTTTCGTGCATGTTTTGAAGATAGGACTTACTATGGCATTCTCCTAGTCTTTTGGAAATATACTTTGTGTTGCACATGGACTAAAACATAAGCTTAAGGGATTCGCGACAAAATTTCCTGATTCATTTAGTAACCTAAGATGCATTTCATCATATCCTATGGATCCGCCTATATCATGCTTACTTAGCAGACCAAATACATTGGGTACCTTGATGGCCATAGTGTCCAAAGTGTGTGTATCTATGGGGTTTTATGGACTAAAGGGGTCATCCCTACGATATATGCATTGCCAAAGTAATTCGAGTATACCTGAGCTTTACTATAATCTTCCTCCACTAATGATGTAGTACTACCACCTCCCCATAATGCTGAAACGTTGCCTCTTCTCTTAGCCCTTTGGTTCATGTACGAGCATAAGCGTTTAGGGTATTCTATAGATTCCCTAACGTTTTCCTTCATACAATCTCCTAGACTTGTAGAGGGTCAAGGCAAAAATATCTCGAGATTACCGACATTGAGATTCCGTCTCATCGTTGTCCAGTAACCGTTGGCATTGTATAGTTTTACCCACCTACCTACTGTCTAACAGGAACTGAATCTTTAGTTTCCGAACTCGAAATTATTGGGTTGTATTTAAGGTCATGTTACAGAAATCCAGATTTCTTTTATTCTCTCCCTAACCGCGAAGACATTGAAATCAAAACTTAGTAATACACTGAATTAATGCAAGGTGTAAGTATATACTTCGAAGTTTCACAACAAATATTGTGGGCCCCTTCTATAGCCATAGATTTATATTTAATTTTATTGGTTAATTTATCACAACGAGAACCCCAACTTCTTGAAAAGCCAGCGACAAAGGCATATAATTAATGAAAAGTAGGTTAATGTTGCTGGAACTTTCCTTTCACAATAAATACTTTACCAAAGTAATCCAAAAATATCTTAAGTTTATGGGATAGTTGTATGTATAACTCGATTGCCAGGTAGAAATTTGTACAATTAGTTTTGAGTCGCAATAGGTATGAGGACTAATTGGGATTACCCATTTATATTTCGTTGTCACTCAGTTCAAAATTTGGCAGTACCATGTAATGCGAACTATCCCAACAATTTTTGTAACAATAGACATTTCTGGGTTCCTTCTTAAACTATGATGGACTAATTTCTAACTTACATGATATTGTCTGAAGCACAAACAATTAGATTACTTATGTATATAACCCTAAATACCTCAAAGCCATGTATACAGGGACTCACCTTGGTAAACCAGCTTCCTAAATTCACCTCATATGTAGCCGCCTAAATGTCTGTTTTACTCAGCTTTTTAATGTGGCTACTCCACGGAAATTATCTTATTACAATATTGAGCTAAGGAACGCGTTTGACAAAGCAAAGTATCATAACTGTAAAAAAATAATAAAAATCATACAACAAGAAGAACAGTGTGTCTTACAGTTTAGAAAAAAGCAAGTAAAGGGTGGTGTGATAACTTGAACTGATGTACATATGTGTTAGATTTTACGTTGCGTATGATTGACCTAACTGACTGGTAAGTGAAATAGGCGTAATACATTTTGATGGCGGATCTTCCTAGTTGTGGGCAAGACAATGGAAAGTTAAAACACAACCACCTGCCTCTTTTCTGATCTATGTTTAACAACAACCGTGCATAGTCAATTTCATCACCTTTAGGATCCTATTCACAACGTTGTGATACGGTAAGGGATGCTAATAGTAAATATATCTTCCATTCCTCGGTACCATGTTATAAGCTTGCCACCTTTTCTCCTAACAAGCCTCATCACCAGCAAGTAATATTCAGTAAGAGAGTTGCTAGGATGACGTGCTTAAAGTGATCATTTTACTCCAAGTTTTCCTTCAAGATAACACGAGTATACTCTATCACTGTCTGCGAGTACCTGGACTTCTCATCCAATGGAAATTGATAAAGCAGTGAAAATTTCATATATACTTGTTCCCACCAAACCCAGTAAATTAAGGACTATGAAATTCCTTATACTTTTGTGAGCTAACGTTATTTTACTGTAGTCCAAGTTTTCGTCTGTATTTTGATACTTATCTGTTTGTTCATCTTTAAGCTTCTCATTACTGGTTTTTTATTGTTTGTAGTTTCACTCATTTACTTTTCCCCTTAATTTTCTCTCTCTGTCCTGATATGATATGTTGTAAATTTTACTAAACAATACCAGTTCAATATTTTCACATTTATATCCTTAGACTATGTTGATAACCGAAATTAACGGAATAACATGTCTTTCCTTAAAACATTAGGTCAAAATAAATCCTAAAGCCTCTAACCTTGTCACTAGGTCAGTTTGTACTGGATTCACTAACCAAAATCGTATCTGATCGAATCTCAGATACACCGTGTTTTTCTGAAGAATGCACTTAAAGTCCATTTGTCTAATTTGATAGCTGGTTTAACTCCACAAATGATTAAAAATGTAATGGTAAGCTTTCACGAATTTCTAGGTAGTCGAAAAACACTAAACTTCTCAACAGCATACTTGTTGATTGTCAGTGTATTGTACTATCAAGAACTTTCGTCAACTTGTGGAAGGATCATATCAACTATCCATAAGTACTTTTGGTACCTACCTACTCACTTATCTCAGTTCAAATGACTAGAAGAGTAGCTTCTCCCTAAACCCATAAAGGATTTGGTAGGTATTTTCGTAACTGTAAACCACTGAGTAATCAATATTTTCAGTTACATAGTTTTTGATCCAGTTTAGTCACGTTTGCTTTTTGATTTCTTGCTTCTTAGTATCACATAATTACATGTTTGCAGTCTGACCACGCCCTTGTAATTTGTTTGCATAGCTGTCTACTTTTGTTTGTTATCTAGTCTACTCTTCCCTCTTAAGTGATATGCGTTACTGGTCTTTTTTAGTCAAACGTTAAATATATATGTACATAATAATGAAAAACTTTCACACTGGTATAAATTATAGGTTCGACGTCTAAGTACTTCTACTCCGGTGCTGGCACTTATACAGGTACGTTCCAAGCATATTGTGTTTGGTTTTTTTGAAAGAAAAGTTTTTATTTGTATAATGATTTATTATGTCTTCATTGGGGATGGATTTACGTATATATGTAGTCATATGCGCGATATATTTTGAGCAAAAACGAAGTAGTCTGTTGACAACCGTTTTCATACTAAAACAATAAGAAACTCACTTTCAAAGTTCGTCTAGAAATAAGTTTTATTTATTTTGGAAAAATTTCAGCAATTCCCCGTCAATCTGCACGTTTGTAATACGGTGGTGGACATTTCAATTAGTTATTTCTACGTGAATAAACTAATTTGTGCTATATATATCCCTCTTAACCTCGTACATATTCATCGACTTAATTTGCATTAGTGAGTAAAAAAACAAAGTACGAGAATGGTTTCCAGATACTGATGTTTCATACGTCCGTTAACTCAGACAGACAGTTCCATAGTAAGCTGGATATTTGGACGGGCTTCGTTGAAAAGTTTTAGCAAATTTGTTGCATGTTGTTGATTATTACATACGATAAAGATATCATCAACATATCACTTCTTGAAACCATAGACGTGATTTCCTATCATTCTGACATCCTACCTCTACCAGCATCAGGATTCAAACGACTGTTATTCATGTGTACACAAGATGTTCATTTCCAGTTCAACGATATCATATACCGACAAACTAATGGTGTAGCAATGGGAAGTTCGTTAGGTCCTATCCTAGCAGATATTTTCATGGCTAATCTCAAAAGAACTAATCTCAAAGGAACGATTGATGAAATGATGTGTTATTCGAGGTATGTTGATGATAACTTCATCGTATGTAATAATCAGCAACATGCAACAAATCTGTTAAAACTTTTCAACGAAGCCCATTCAAATATCCAGTTTACCATGGAACATGGAAATGAAAAAAAGTTCCATTTTCTCGATATCCCAACAAAACGAAGGAAAGATGACACAGTTCAATGTTCAGTTTATAGGAAAGATACATGAAATGGAATTTATCCCAATTTCAATAGCTTTTGTCCGATCATTTACTAAAAGACACTTGTTAAAACACTTTCACAGAACAGAACGAATATGTACTGCCGGTACACTCGAAGAGGAAGTAATGAATGTTTAAAATGTTTAAAGAGTAACGGATATCCACTGAAACTTATTGAGAAATATGGAAAACGTGAAGATAAAAAACCCAAAAAACTACAGTAAATAAAAAACCCATTTTTATTCAACTTAAATTCAAAGGTGATGTCACAGGGTCACTCAACATGAGACTAAAAACTGCATTGACGAGAACTTATCCTGCAGCTAAACTGATTGTCCTGTCCAAAACAACATGTTCTTTAATACAATCAGAGGACAGTAGGTATCCCTTTAATGGTATCACTGACTGTGTATACAAGTTTACATGTCTGCCAAATCAGTTACATTAGTTGAACAGAAAGGAGACCCTACGTTCGATTCAAAGGACATATTCCGAAAAATCTAAAGTCAAACGGATTAAAAGCATTGAGCAACGCCATCTCAAGACATCTCCTTGACACAAGACATCAAACCGATACACCATTCTTTGACATTCTTCAGATACTGACTGCAGACAGATATTGGGATCTTGTTCGGTCCTCGCTAAAATCTGTGTCCTGATCTCTGCATCTGCTGCAGATTGTAACCCACAGACAAAAATAAGACATTTAAACTGACCTGAGGACACTTCTTGTAACCGGAACCGCTCACATTCCCGGTTCACGATGCTTTCATACGTCACATAATCGTCATGTGGTTTTTTACAAACTAGAGACACTAATATTTAGTGTGAAAAATTAATGATCTTTCGCCAAATATACTGTTTCTTTAAAGGTTATGTCGATTGGCTTCTTTGGAAGAGTAAAATTACAGAACTTTTCATGTTCATACAGTCCGAGCTTCCGTAGTAATAATCTTTGTTTCGAACCTTTATCTCACTCTTTGTAATTCTTCATAACCACGCCACAAAAGTAATTCTACTTTCTGAATTAAATCTAAATTCATTTGTTGAATTAGCAATAGAATCCGAAGTCATAGTAGAATTAGATACCTGGCTTCTTAGGGATACTGACATATTCCTGACCAATAATTTGATGACAGCATTTTGCTGTTGTAATAAATATTTCAGATCATCCGGTTTATTGTTACAAGATCCACTTTAACTAAATATATAAGCGTAGATCCGTTCTAACCACTACTATGACGCTAGGTTTTTCTTCGTCTTTACAAATGGGACGTTAATTTGCCTTAGACGAATATCTACACTAGATTCCCTCCCAGCGTCTATTCTACAGGACTTTAACACCACTCAGATCAAAAACATGTGATTAGCCTGACTAGAATGTAAATATATTTCCACATCAAAAACCGACAACAAGCCGACACAATCCAACAACAATCCGTCAACCATTACAATAATAATAAAGATGGGAGAAGATAACTCATATAACGCCTGTCAGACTATCTACAAGTCTGATTAAGCAAACAACCGATTATGATCATTCTCGCTTACATATTATATAGTACACATGATGTTGAGTCTTAGCATTTCACTCGGTGCGTCGCCTCTGAATTGTAAGCGTATATACAGAAGCTTTTTATTTACAGTTGGGCATTCTCTATGCTGTCTTTTATTGGCTATGTTTTTATTTATAAATTTCTCGGGATATCCCTTTTCCTTCAGGGTTATGTATAATGACTTTGTTTCATCCTCAATCGTATCCACAGAGCATATAGTCTTGATTTTATGATACAGTGTCTTGACAAGGTTCCTTTTGTGTTGTAGAGGGACAAAACTAAGAAAGTTTGTATATTGACCCGTCCAGGTACTTTTCCTGTTTATGTTTGTTTTTAGCGACCCGTCCTTCCTCCTTGTAAGTAGAACATCTAGAAAGGCTATTCTACCCCCATTTTCCTTCTCCCATGTGAATTTTATGGACGGGTGAACTGTATTGAAAGGCTCGAGTGTTTCTAGGAAGTCCGTCTGGTTGTTGCAAATGATAAATCTATCATCCATTTATCGGCAGCAAAATGAAAACTTAGCGATCTCTTGTGTTAGTGGGTGTGTTAGTCCTTCGAACCCTAGGTTTGTTGCTTTTAGTCTTACCGCTCTTCAACCGACCTATCTGACATGATAGGGCCTTGAGGAACGGTTGTTCCAGCCAGTATAGCTCGGTTGCTTCATCACGATAGGCAAGCCCGACCACCACGTCAAGGCAGCAACAACGGTCAGGTCCAAATGATATACTCTGCCTTAAATCTAGCCAATTTTATGGATTATTAATTTGGATTTATAATTGTAGTACAGTACCTGATGAGAAATCAGATTTTCTTTGTTTTTTTTTTCAATCAACTATACGTTTCTTCTGTTCTTTTTTTTGTTCTACCAATTTTTTTTATAACACAATCACTATTAGCCTCCTATTCAAGTGTTCGGTTTAGAAGGACGTTATGCTTCTGCTTTATATTCAGCTGCTACAAAACAGAAAGCATTAGATAAAATTGAGAAAGATATTCAATTAATTAAGAATACACTTAAAAATGATGTGAAATTACGTGAATTTTGTCTTGATCCAAGTTTACAAAGATTAACTAAAATTAATGGAATTGATCAAGCACTAAACAAATTAAAAGTGAATGAAGCTACGAAAAATTTATTTGGTAATTTAATTTTTGATTTTTCTAAAGATAATTGTGATAATAGTTTATTTTCTTCACAAACACTCGTAAGCTACTAGTATTTGACCACAGATGCCTTAAAAATATTGCTCGCATCTGCTGGGATCACCGGGTAAGTAATAATGAGGTTAAACGCAGGGTATTAGGGAATGATGGTAAATCAGTTGATGAGGTTGTGAATCTTCATCGACTGAGATGGTTGGGCCACGTATTACGTATGCTTGAACACTGATTACCACGACGTGCAATGCTAACCGGTGTTGGAGATGGTTGGAAGAAAGTAAGGGACGGGCAAACCAAAACGTCGCATCAGTGCTTGAAGTCAGTAACTTCTAGTCTGAGCCATGTTGGTAGATGCAGACTACTTGGTTGGGGTCCGCGTGACTATCATAACCAATGGTTGGGGACTCTTGGTGACATGGCTGAGAATCGATCACAATGGCGTAGGTGTATACACTCTCTGTCTTCCTTTAAACTATGAGATTAAAATCGCTTCATATCTTTCTTCCTGTACTATGTGCTTACATGCAATCTTTCTTTTATATATTACCACCTCTGAATTAACTACCTTTATGAATCCGGTGTCCATCTTGTTGTGTTAATGAGGTATGGCAACTTGGACTGATGTGTATATGTGCCTGTTCCTACGTTGTAGCTGACTGACTTCTTCACAAAGACCCTTTAAGCTTTTATACTTAAAAGTGTGTAGTACATAAAACAGTTAAGCAAAATCAATTTTTGTTCATTTTCATGTTAGATTTGTAAGTTGTTATTTCCTTTAAGAACCTAAAACTCATATTGACCATGGGCTCAAAATCAAAGTTTTCTAACCTATTTAGATAATTTCTCTGAATCAACGAACTCTATTTAAACATATGGATCACTAAAGTTCTTGGCTTAGAAAAACAACACACCTATCAGCATTACATCAAAGCAATCAGCTTAAACCTTCTTGAAAGATGTCAGAAATACGAAATTATATAAAAAATTTCATAAAAAGAGAAGGCAAATCTGTAATCTTGAAAATACCATCGCAATTAGGGACACTTTACAGGATAATTTTGATGTATCTTGGTTATTATTATTTATCGTCGGGAAAAATCATTCATGTCATCCACTTCTGAAGTGTGGTTTGTTTTTAACAAATAGTGTTGGGGAAGCGTAAGATTACAAGGGAAATACTCTTACGGTGATTATGCTTACAGGTAGTACCAGTTATTTCAAGATCCCAAATGCGTCTTGTTAATGAGTCCCAACCAGTTTGAGACACGGAGAGTCCACCTAGGAGAGTTGGAAAATCCTGATTCCAAACCAATGGTGCATATGGGCTCCAGTATCCCGAGGGAACAAATGGCGTATGAACCAATCGTTGGTCAGCGGCTACCATGGGACTGCATCTCCTCACGATGCTCCACTGCCTTGTGGATCAGACCTTCAGGCCGAAGGCTCCGGGTGTGGCCCCCTAAGAAAACCACCTGTTTCGGTTTGGGCACCCGGGTAGTATCCCAACCCTCACACAATTCGAATCATTTATGTGGCGCATATCTATTTGATGCCCCTTGTACCAATGTTTGTGTTTAAATAAATAGTGTGAGACCTAGGTCTGAGGTTTAATATTGATGACCACCTAAGATCAAGGCATTTCACGGGAGATGTCTAGTCACTTAGACTAGTGACAATATTGTAGCTTTGTTGATAGAATTCGATCAACTTTAAAGACTGGACAAACATGATAGTGATCATTAATCAGTGGTCAATAATGTACTACAGTTTATAGTATGTTATTGATGTATGTTTTTAGATTATTAGAGGGTTTACCGCTCTTCGTTTTGATTCACTATGTGGTTTGCTTATTCTCTTATTTTTCACCAGTTATACTTGCTGAAAATGGTCGTTTATCTAAAATTAATTCAGTTATTGACAAATTTGAACAAATTATGACTGCCTATCGAGGTGAAGTTAGCTGTACTGTACGAACTGCGAAACCGCTAGATAAAACATCAGAAAATGAATTACGGAATGCCCTTAATGGATTTTTAAAACCCGGCGAAAAATTACAGCTAACTTTAGAGGTAAGTGTTTATATATCATTTGTTGAATGCATAGTCTTCAGTTGGCGATAATTAATATAAATTAGTCGTAGTTAAAACAACACAGTAAAATGAATAACAAAGGAGCCGAAGTAATAGTAAGAAAGACTAAACATCGGAGAATATGATTCGAAAAAATGAGCTGATTTTGAGAAATAAACAAAATTTCAGCTCAAGACTTTACAGGGTAGGTGAAGAATGAATCCATCTACATCTGTGCGACCTAATCTTAGTCGTGTCATCTAAGCAAATAATCAACCAGTTATTGTTACATCTATCAACATAGCTCAGAAAACTCCCAATGACAATATGAACTGAGGTCACATTGTTGTGTGATTGCCATAAGTTTTCTTCCAACTTATTTCTACTTCAGCCAGCATTGAGTGCCAAGTTTACGGTGGTTGGACTTGCGTAACATGTTTCAGTCCATAAAGACTCACATTGTTATCGTATAATTTACCCAAGAATCTAGGCTTAATATCAACACTACTCATTCAGTAGTAGCAAAATACCTAAACAATCCTCTGAAGATACTTATAATAAAATACTTTTGGCATACAAGTGTTTTATAGCCATAAAATAACGCAAAACTGACTGCTGTGTAGTATACTTGTCCCTCTTTTGATAGATGAAAATCGCACCCGCTCTTCCAGTGATCCCGTTTGGCAAAAGCCAAGTTAGGTTTCTAAATATGTGCCAAGATATAGTCAGCTATCAGCACTGGTGATTCTTTCAACATACATGAACTAATCAACACGCTTAGCTGCTTCATTCTATACAATCAGTCTAAGCAATGACACAGACTAGTTCTGAAGCAACGGGAGGGAGAAAGCCTCATTCGAAACGCTTTTTCATTATCACTCTAGACTTTCAAGAGACTACATTATGTCAGCGTTTTCAGCAAGCTAAACTATATAATCTGTGTACTGCAGCAATGAGATCAATCCTTAAAATGTTAGATGACTTCTATGATTTCTAAAAAGGGGTATCTATAGTGACACTAGGATAGTTGTCAATCCTGAAAAGTATCATTTGACATTGTCAACTCTTATTTATTTATTTTATTTATTTGAACACATCAATATTGGTACAAGAGGACATTAAATATATATGCACCACACTTACTATTGTCAATATCGAGGGAATCCACACGGGATGGACATATGCCGATAAGAGACTGATCAATGCCAATTCTTAACATCGGTGTGAAGATACAAACAACATATATATCTATGAATTAAAGCTATAATAAACAGATGTTTATTATATTTATCACTTGTTTACTAATACAAACTTTCTGTTTTTTTTGTTTCTCTGTGCGTCCATTTTATTAATAATTTAGATCGATCCATCGATTATTGGTGGTATGGTAGTTAGTATCGGTGATCGTTTTGTTGATATGTCAATTGCTCGAAAGATTCGCTCACTTCGCGGAATAATGGAACAACCAATTTAAAAAGTTATATATGTCGAATTTTGAAAGATAAAAAATATATAGTTATATATATAAAATATACATTGGATCATTTGACTTGTAGTCTATTATGTAATTAATAATAATTACCTTTGAAAAAAGTTTGTGTGATATTGTTATTTTTATGCTGATTTTGTTTTCAATCAGTCATAGAAAATGCGGCATTTAGCATATATATGCTTCGATTCATGTTGTCACAATGTATTGTGGACCGTGGGGTGGCTACTCTAATTTCTACCGACTGACCAACTTCAGATATCCTAATACACGACCCCAATACTGTTCCCCAATCTTCAATATATCAGAACACGAACCGTCGATGAAATTGTTTATGGGGTCAGAAGAAGAATAAGAATAGGAATAATACTTTCTAGACAAAAGCATATTTATACAGTTAGGACTACCATAAAAATCGACCAATAAGAAAGTGACACCATTTCACGTTCAAGAATAGCATTAAACTTGACAGGATAATTATCGGGATATTTTTCCGAATATCCCAACACAATGTATTAGTACAAAAAGATGAACTCATCAAGCTGCACCCCAGATTAATATAAGTAGTCATAGTATCTATGGTAGTAAGAAATAGTGGGCATATTATTTAAAAAAAACAGAACAGATTTGCATAACAAAGATGTATAAGTATTATAAAACATCGAGTGAATAAATGTAATCCACTGCAGCCGATTTTGAGCCATGTCATCCAAAATCTTCATTCATTGATTACAATAATTGCGAAGGTAGTGCACACTTAATAATACAGTCCGATTCAACAGTCAATCACTTCATGAACTGATACAGTCTGCATTTAATAATCGTTAGCTTCCTTCACACTTACTCTTACTCCAGAAACCATCATACGTCGACATATGCAGTGATAAACATATGTGATAGATGTCCCAATTACATTAGTTGATGGAGATTCAATACCTCAACCGATTTACTGTTTATTCAGTACTACTTGTCTTATTTCAACATTGAAAGTTAATTAATTTACAATGGTTTAGACTATCCTGTTGTTGATATTTAATCATCCAGAACTCAGGAGCTTAGTGGAAAATGCGTCAGCGTTTGGAGCGAAAGGTTCTGTGTCTGAGTCCCATAATGGACATCAGCGATGGGATCCAGGTATATTCAACTGACCAGTCCCAAGTAGCATGAGACGCGTGTTCTGGATTTCTCACACTAAAATAACAGGCAGCAAAATTACCAAATCCTGTCTATTATCTTAATCATTGGGTACCAGTCTGTCTGTTGCTTTTTACAATTCGAAGGACGATTCTTATCGACATTCACGATGTCAATATGTTTTTTTATTTACAATATGTCTGGCCATTTCCAAAAGCCTGTTGTTACTCGGTATTCATAACGTCTCTTACATAGTAATAAGTATATACACATAATGAAAGCACAAGTTTAGAAGATGTTGCTTTATCAATGAAAATTTAGACCACTACTTGGTCGATCAATCATCAATTCAATTATAATACGTATAATCTATGTCATTACTGCTTGTTATACAAGCTCAAAACTGATAATCAAGCAATTGTAAAATAAATTATATTTAATAATAACACGTTATGATAATTTGCTGACTGTTCCACGAACGTAAAACGACCTTATGAAATCGCCCCCATCTATTAGCGAATCAAAATGCAAATGAAATAGGAAATCAAATCAACCATCATATTTAGTTTTGTATCTCACTGAAGTCGCAGTGTCCTTGAGAGGCGCTAAAATATTCCTGAATCACATGAAGTAACTACGCTCAACACAGGAGTTGTTTTCTTATAAAATAGGTAAGCATACCATCATCATATCCACTATATGGTTCCATAAAGGATATGTTTATCAATTGGAAACGTTTTAATGACGCGATATACATAAAAGCTGTCTCTGTGTCCAGAATTTAACCGAAAAAACAGTTGTATCTCGGATCTGATTAGTTCATTGGAAAAGTCAAGTTTTGATAAAGCATTTATCTGGTGTATTTGATCTATAAACAAAATAAGTGACAATAGTTGAAGTTCTTAACAAACTGTATCGTCTAGTATGTTCATAAGATGAAGTAAAACTATTGATCCAAATTATGAATATTATATAAGTTTATCCAATGGTATAGTTTATTCGTTGAATAAAATCATTCGTCTGAACAATAGATGCTTTACAACTCTTACAACAAAATAAATACAACAATTCATAAATTTGACCTAGCTTTCTCAGTGGTGAACTAGAGTCACCATCGAAAATTCAAATCAACACGACACAATTGCATCGATAATCTTAATTATGATGCATAATAAGAATTTCACGGTATTCTGCATGCCTGCAACAATCTACCAATCAAAACAGGAATAATTTTACTATCATTCTGTCAATATGTATCACGGCATAGTTCACTGAACTGAAATAAATGAACAGTATACATACATAAAGTTATAAATTACAACTGTCATTGGTTTGTTACGTAGATTAGGTGAAAAGTAAATAAAGAAATCACCTGGTTTTGAATAACTTATTTTAATGTCATTCTTATTCCCATAGATATATTATCCTAATATCTAAAAGAAGTAAATAGAACACCATTTAAATGTGTTACCTAATAAATGGAACTTGTTGGTGGATATTCACATTCAAAATATCATGTATTGAGAAGAAATTATTCCTGAAAATTCACAATGATATAAAAGTATTCACAACCAGTCAATCTTGAACGGACTTTTATTCGTATTCAAAGGTTTAGTTGAACAAACCTTAAAACCAGCCGTGACCGGTGGAGCTAATCCGTGTCGGATAGAGACAGGTATCTACCTCAGTACAATGGAAGAAGCTCGCGCAATTTCATGGATTGGTTGATGTTACACATTAACACCATTAGATGCCGGCTCAGTGGTCCAGTAGGTTAAGCGTTCGCGCACGAGACTGAAGGCCCTGGGTTCGAATCCCGCGAGCAGGATCATGGATGCGCACTGCCGAGGAGTCCCACAACAGGACGAAACAGCCGTCCAGTGCTTCCAGGTTTCCAACGGTGGTCTAACACCAATCGGTTCATGATCTCAATAAGAAAATAATCACTGAATTCTGTTGGTCCGAGATCTTTATCAAACAAATTTTCATGATAAGACTTATGACAAATGACGAAAGGGTTGTTGTATTCTGGTTCGAATAGTCTTTCGACTATTATCCAGCAAAAAAAAAAAACAAACAAACAACGAAACACGACTGTTTTACCCACTAAACCAAGTGTATATAATGCAACTACTACTAATCACAGACTTTAATACACAATGATATATCTTTCTTCAAAGAGGGTGATTCGCAGAATCTATAAGGACTTTAGTATACAATTATTTTACAATACACGATGATGATTCACAAATATTATATATATATATGAGTATGTTTGTGTACATAATAATTTATTTTCACAAATTTACAAATAGGGAAAACAGAACAAAATAAAAAAAACATTAGATCTTATTTACTGTTTATTACACATTAATAAAAAAAAGCATGATAATAACTGACAGTGAATAGAGAGTGAGAGAGAGAGAAAGAAAGAGAAATATAATGTACGAATGTGTATATAAATATATTCTGTATACAGATGTGATACATTGGGACTTTATACATATGTAAGTATAGATCGATGAAATTGTCGGTAATAAGATGAAATAGATGGTGAATAAAAGTATGATTAGATCAACAAGTCGAGTAAACAAAGAGAAACAAGATTGATTTAACATAAACAAAGATATACATATATAATATTTACAGTTTATAATTCGGGTCTAAAAAAAACCACATTTATTTATTTGTTTTTATAAAATTAACCCGAGATCAATGTATGAATAAACTCGTAGAAGTAAGTAGAAAAACATGAGGCCTTTCGTTTACTTTCAGTAGAAAATCAAATGATTTCGAATGTTTTTTTAAAAAAAAAGTAATAAAAATGCACATCAGGTTGACAAACTACTAATTATCAATATCAGTAGTAATAAATAATGCATAAGCGTGAAGCTGCCTATGGCAATAGTGCACAAAAGAAAAAAAAAGGAATTTAAATTGATATACAAATGAAATCTGAATGCTGCGTTCAATTCAATTAACGAAATAGATATTAATTCATTCTTCTTTTGTTTCTTATAAATTCTCTTCTTTGAACAGTTTCATTTTCTGAACAAATAATGCTTCAACAATTTCGGTACAATTAAATTCTGGTGTATCTTTTGGATAGATTAAACGTGAATTAGTGAATAGACGATTCATGTCGAATGAGAAATCTCCCAAAGTTTTGTAAACATCGCTTTTTAAATTTATTATAACGGAGGGAAGATCTAATTGTTTAAAACAGAAAAAGCAAATAAACATTTGACAACACAAATGTACAGATATACACGTTTTTTAAAAAAAAACAAGCAAATAAATAATGTTCACGAATAGCGCATAAGACCAGATTCAAGGTTTCTTACATTAAAACTATATATATATATATTATATATATATATATGAAGAAGAGATTAGGAAAACACGATGGAAATGTATAGGACATATATTACGCAAATCGTCAAACTGCATTACGACACAAGCCCTAACATGGAATCCTGAAGAGAAGCGGAAAAGAGGAAGATCTGAAAAGGATGAATAACAACCGGAAAGAACTGTCCGGGACAAGGTTGGATGGAGAGTGCTGGTGAGCGACCTATGCTCCTTCACGAGGAGTAACAGGCGTAAGTAATATATATATATATATATATATATATATATATAACCACTGCCACAGAATCCCTGCTCACTGCCTTCTCGTGGAGGTGTTGTTTACGAAAACCGAATAGCAGCCACTTAAACAGACGATTGTAGGGTACGCAGAATCTACCTAGGAGAGTTGGAATACCCTGATTTTAGACCATTGTTCAACAAGGGCTTCAGGACTTTGAGATAAATGGTATATTAGATTTTTTTCGGTCATCGGCTACCTCGGTATTGTATATCCTAATATTGCCCCACTGACATGTGGATTAGACTTCCGGGTCAAAGTCTCAGTGAGTGGTCCACCTGAGAAAACCACCTGCCTCGATTTAGGGACAGGGTAGTATTCTAAGCAATTCACAAACTC